CCTTCTCGAGGCCTGTGCATCATCGTGGATTCCACTGCACCTGCTACGCTATCCTCTGACTTCCATGGACTGATAGATTCCCAACGAGGGAGTGGTAGGATTGGAATACTGTGAAATGCACCTTTTGTTTTTTTAATCAGAACGCGGAACATTTTCCCCATAATGGTTTTTTTTTTTACTTAACTCTTTTCCCACACACATTTTTTTCCTTCCTGAGATCTCAGAACCTTAAAGACTGATATACTCCCCTTTAGGGGTTATTGGTTCCAACGTGTTCTAGTTGTTAACAATTTATATTGATATTCCATGCCATTCTGTGTTTACCCTATAAATGGTTTACATTGATATCTCATATCATACTGTACTTGTTCTATATGGTCTGAAGTGAACTGTGATCTGAATTGGAATTCATATTATCTCCGAACTGTTAAGGGATTTTATTTATTTATTTATTTATTTATTTTTGACAGTACCCAATACACCGTGAGGAATGTACACATATGCATATATATATTGACCTGAAGCCATAATTAACAATACAAGATTCTCTTTTATAAATCCTGATTGGTGTTTGTGTTATTGTGGGTTGGCGTAATACAACAATCAGTATTCACTACCGCAGTCCTCCTGTACGAATCTTGGACAGAGTAAGTAGACTTGACTAGTAGTGATTTAGTAGGTATCAGTGCCCACCTAAGTAGGCATTGAGAGAGAGAGAGTTGGGCAGAGTTACATCTGCATGCATGGTGCGTCCCCACGCTGTACTTTTATGCGTCTCGCGGTGCGTACAGCGCGCGCGCCTGCGGCACCTACGGCTGGCTCGCGGTGCGCCATGAGCACGGCGAAGTTGGTGAGGTGGCTGCAGGAGCAGGTGGTGTGCGTGCCGTTGGTGTCCAGAAGCTTGCAGCCCTGCGAGGACCACTGGCCCGTCATGGTGCGCTCCGAGTAGTTCCAGAAAGAGCAATTCGGGCTGAAGTGGTTCTCCAGCTGCGGAAACACACGCGCACTTTAATCACAGACATGCACCTCGTGTGTGCAGGTGCGGGACCCACTGTAAACACTTCTAATTTTCATGTTAGTAGTGCACGCGTGGTTTCCTTGCGCAGTTAAAAACTAATGTACATAAATTAAACGTAGATTAACTAAATGCGCGTGTTTTACGAAGATAACACGCTCTTTTATAATGGGATTTTACTCCGTCCGTATAATCCGTTCTCTTTTGAGATTTCAGCGGCATAGTTTGTCTCCGATAAAGGTACATCTCCTACCTTCATCCAAAATTTATATTTTGTTCAAATATGGGCATTATCAAGCTTATTAAACTTCCACTTTTAGGACGGCATTATCGCTGGTAACTATCTTGGAAAGACCCATAATGCTTTGCAAGGGAAACGGAGTTACATTTAGGCGTCCTACAATTTTACACTTTTTTTGCAGAGGACGTGTTAAAGGCATCTACTCGCTTTTGTACTGACATAAGCAGTCTCTTCCTATGATAACATCTTAAACCAAACGCAATTTAAAAAAAAAAGGTGGCGCATGCCTTAGGACGTGGGAGAGCACCTTTTTGACAATGTTTTCGCAGATAAATCGTGAGAAATAGACACCGTGGATCCTGCTTTTCCGTAACTTAAATTTATGAGCTGTGCTGAAAAGAGTTTAACGTAGTGACTGACAGCCTAAAAACAGTGACGCCTGGGCGTCAGAGAATGAATTTCTGTAATTACATAGTGGGGACCAGATTTCTCTGCACTGATAAAAAAAAAAAAAAAAAAACTTGTAACTTATTACCTCGTGGGGACATTTTTTGGTCCCCACAAGGATAACATCTAATTTATTTAAAAGAAATGCAATAACAGTTTTCTAAACAAAAGACTTTTGTTTGGTTACTTACGGTTAAGATTGGGGCTGGTTAGGGGTTGAGGTTTAGTTGGGAATAGGATTATGCCCATAGATCTGAACGGAGAGTCCCCATAAAGATGAATACTGTGTGTTTATGTATCTCAGCCCATGCATCTGAACAGCAAGCCCACCTGCAGGTGCCTCATGGTGTACACCACAGGCTCGGTCAGGAACACCCGGCTCGACTCCTTGTTGATGGATGCGGCGATGACGTGCGAATTGACGACCAGGCTCCGTCCACCAGACCCCGGCTCCACCTCCATTTTGACGGTGGCATTTTCCGTGGAGAGGAAGGACCCCAGGTTCTTGTAAAGCATGAAGACCACCTTCACCTGCCCTGCTGGCCAATAGGGAACCCACAGAGAGAGACGTTATCCCCAAAATAGTTTTTAATGAGCACATTTTTGCACCATCACCATCTCCGCCTTACTACATAAGGAAGAAAAAATGAGAAGAAATAAAAGACGAGACAGATATGTGAAAAAATGATGAGATGGAGTGATCAGGAGTAGTCATCACAACCTTGTGAATGTGAAAAAGGTTTAGCATTAAACGCCTACCCAGCAAATTTAACATGAAGAATGTCAAGTTAATTTTGTTCATCACTGAGCAATTTCTGATGTGTCCAAGGGAAATTGTATTACACGCCCTGTGAGCAGTGAACTTGGTCTCCGCTACTGGAAAAGCTTCACCCGTCGTATCAGCGGGTGATATCTGTACCGGCTAGGTCTTCGAACGAGAGCAATTTGCGTTCTCGAGATCAGATTTTCTGATCAGAGTGTCATGTCTTCCTGATAATCTTCCGTATGGTTGAGTTCGCCGCGCTAGAACAATATCCTTTTGTCATGATATTTATATTTAAAAGATGCATCCCGTTGCCCTTTTCCAGTTTTAATGCTCAAATCATGCTTTAATCATTTGATTCCCAAGAGCCTTTGGTGCTATGAAAAGGACAATCAAGGTTAGAGTGAAATTCTCACTGGGAACTGTAGGAAAATGCCAAGCGTTGACTGTGATGGACACATCTAGAACACAAATTCTAAAAAGGCACAGTAATGGGGTTCAACGAAATAAGAGCCATTTGCTGTTGATTCCTAATACGTCGTGACAATATTTTATGTTTTTTTCAAATTCAGTTCATTGCTAAATTATTGTCCACTAATTTTTAATCTTTCTCAAAAATGAATTCACTGTGAACTCCTGTGCACTCATTTACATCAAAAGCTGACTTTATTTTTTAGGGGACATGGAAAACTCTCGACAGAAAGCAGATGCCAGGATGCCTGGGCTTATGGATCGCGGCCAACGAGAGAGCAGGCCGTCCTCACCATGCGGCCGAGCGAGACGCCACTGACCGTTGCGGCTGTACTGCTTGATCGTGGAGGCGGAGAGCTGTATGCTGCTGTCGCTGGCATGGGACTTGGGGAAGGACAGGTCCTGGAAATCCATCTCCGTGTTCAGCACGTACACTTCCAACTCTGGGACACACGCGCAAGGGTTTTGGTTTATGTTCTTAGATACTGGAAGTCACACTGGAACCACGCACACACACACACACACACACACACACAGCCTCACCGATGTTGGCGCCGCGGTCCGAGAAACGCCCGTCATACAGGTTGTTGGCCAGCAGGAAGGCGCCCTTCTCCATAACGTCCAGCAGCATGGTGGCCGAGTGCGCCTGCTCCGTGCTGTTCATGTCCTGCCATGACTCCAACGCCTCGGACCGGAGCAGGTTGTCCACTGTCTGAACTACAGCCTGAAGAGAGAGAGAGAGAGAGAGAGAGAGCGTGGAAGAGGGGAGAAACCAGAGAAAGAGAGCGTGGGGTCACTATACACCCCAACTCTGACCCACACACAATGAAGTGATGTGAAAGCTAAAAGTCATGAGAGATGTCATGACTTGGAGGGACAGGTGGACATACATTCCGCCCTGGGCGAATTAAGCATTGTGCGAGCAATGCAGCCCCTTCGTTTTTCACCCACAGAGAATTCCACATTCTTTAATTACCCATCGCCACCTGTAGATGGCGCTTTGGAGTTACGCTGTGATTTACTCACACTTTGTGCTAACTAGGTAAATCACCACGGTGACGAGCCAGTTCCCCTCCGCTGGTCTGCTCGGTGGAGGCTTAAATGTGGCTCAGTTCAGGGCTCTGGGACTGTCATGTCCAGAATAAGGAAGCGTGTGTTTCTTAGTGACATTTTGTCAGGCCTAAGCTGATAGATGCCAGGACTGCATTTTCACCCTCTGCGGAGTATTAAAGGCATTAATATTTCATAGAGAAAATGTAAAATAAAAGGAGAGCGAGATATTAAGTGAATTAAAATTAACAAAAAATTAAATAAAAACCAGTTTTAGTTCCTCAAGTGATGAGTCTAGCTGCATAACGATTTCATCCAATCAAAAACGGGCATGTATGATAGTCAGCCAATCAGGGTACAGCTATCCAGAAAGCAGCTATTTTTGTTTCCTCTAGTTTCCTCAATGCTACCCGCAATAACAGGCTCCCACTTCAAAACCTGCGGTGTTCAGCAGATTCCAGGTCACGTACAGGTTTTCCTCACAACGTGCCGAGATGTCACATGGCCCAATGTTGCGTGGAAAAAAAAAAAAAAAAAACTCAAAGCGTAACATTTCAATACAAAAAAAAACGCTGGCAAAGTGTTATCGTCCTCTCCCGTCAGTCAGAGCGCAGATCAATAATAGTTTAAATGCAGATACCGGTGATTTCTGGGTGTAATTACACCTTCGATTATGGAATTTACACAGGCACAGAAAACACCAATTGCCCCCCCCCCTCCAATTCATCCGACATAATTCGGAGCTTTTTCCCCACAGGCTCTCTTGAGACCATCCCAGCCACTTGTCATTATATGTAGCTAATGAGATTTCTGCAGTATAAATCCCGCGCAAGTTATTTATGGCTAATTGTGCGTTACTAAGTCGGCAAAGGGGGAATGGCGCCCTCTATCCTAAAGTAAGGGGTTTGAGTTATCTTACCGGTTGCTAATTGGATACTAATTAGTCATCTCATTAAAGGCACGTTTTCTGCAATTATTTTTGATAAGAACTGCTAAACACTGAGATTACACAATTAACATGCTGGCGTATGTGTCGTTAGGAGCCGGAAGTGGGACGCTGCAGGAGAGCTGATGGGGTGGAGAGGGTACCTGGATGTAGGCCCGGCAAGTTCTCTCTCTCTTCTGCAGCTGGAAGGAAAAAAGCAGGATGAGTGGCAGGGAGGACGAGTGCGTCGCAGTGGCTCGTAGGAGTCGGTGTGTCTCTTGGAGAATTGCGAGCGTTCGCAGGTGCTCGCGTGGGCGGCTGTCGCACCTTGTTGTAGTTGCGTGCGGCCGACTCCTTGTTGCCGGGCCGCAGCGCCTGAAGCTGGGCGTCCAGGATGTCCAGCAGCTGCTCCATGAGGCGCACGGACGAGCTGACGTCGCCGGCGTGGATGCGCCCTCGTGTGTGGTTCACCAGCTCGCCCGCGATGTTCGCCGCGTTTTCCCCGCTCTTGATCTGCGGGGACCACAGATGTCACCTTCAGAGCTGAATCTAGGCTGCCTAGGGCCCGAATGACAGAAGGGGGCCTGGCAAAGTGTACAAAGGGGACCCCCCCCTCCACGTTTGGGTCTCTGAAATGGTAGATCCGGCCCATACCACCAATTAAAAACATTTACATGCATCCCCCAAAAGCTGATAGGCTTAGCAATATGAAGGGGGTGAGGTTTGTTTCTAAGCCACTCCCACATGTCACATTCAATTGGTCATTTACAAAAGAGGGAGGTGAGATACTATATATATAATTCTTGGCAGCAGAGGATTTTAGTGACGCAGAAGATGACCGCAATGGGCTGGAGACCCTGGGCAGGGCCGGATGCACGTCTGGCTGGTACCTTCTGGGCCACCTGGCTGACCCAGGGCGAGGTGCAGTTGCTGAGATCCGGGCCTCGGGGGCTCCACATTGCCGGGGAGACCAAGCACTGGAAGGAGGCGATGCCTGGATGCAGAGAGAGGGATGAAGGAGCTGGTTCAGGCGGAGAGCAGGGAGCCGTGGAGAGTTTTGTTGGAGGGGAGGAAGAGAGAATGCAGGCTGGCTGAAAAAAAATCAGGAAAAATGAGAGCAGGCACCACGGCCAAATAACAACCTAATCACGCAGCGGCGTGACACAGAGAGAGCACCCGAGGGAGGCCCCTCCCACCACACCGTATCCTCCGGAAAGTTCTGCGTTTACGCAGGTGAGTTCAGAGAGAGGACACAGGCCCGGGATCTGACGGACCTGAGCCGGCGTGCGGCTCCAAGCGCACAAATAAAAACAGACGGGAGGCTTCCAACAGAGCGAGCGAAAGAGGGAGGGAGCGGGGGAAGAGGGAGAGAGGGGGTGCTGGGAGAAAAGTGGGGAGAGAGGAAGGAGAAGTTAGACAGAGAGAGAGAGGAAGAGGATGGGCAGAGGACGATGGGGGGGGGGTTTGAGCTGGTGAATCAGAGCGGAAGCCGTGGTGTTTTACTGGCACTGCTCCTGCGTCGTCGTCCCCCTTCACCTGCGTTGTCACGAGCCTGGTGCTGATGCCAACGGGTGCCAATTAAGGCAGCAGCTAACGGAGCCCTGGCTGCACTTCAAGGGGCGGTGGGGGGGGCTTGGTAGGAACTTTGGGGGGGGGGGCGTGAAGTGCTTTCAAAACCAGGTTTCTGTCACTCTGAAAATCAGGTCTTATGCCCCCATGTGGCGCTTAGAGAGAACCGCATGGCTGACTGCCGCAGTAATAAGGGCTGTATGCAGACATGCCAGGAGCAGCCCCTTACCCAGAGACCCCTTCGGACAGGGCCGTTCCACCATCTCCCCCTTCTGCGTGGGGGGCCACTGGACCCCGCGGGCCACGCGGGCCTCACAGGTATGTGGCTCAGGGCCCTGGGGGGGCCGCGGCAGGCGAGGTGGCCGGCCGGTGACGGGCACGGTGGCAGTGATGGGCCGCAGGTCGGGGGCCTTGTTGATGGCCCCAATGGGGTGCGAGGTGGGGGGCAGGGGGCGGGGCGTGGAGGGCCCGGAGCTGTGGGCGATGGTGGGCTTGAAGGGCGACACGGTGGTACTGATCGTCTGGGTCGTGGTGAGGGGGTCTAGGGAAACCACAGAAGAATGTCCGGTTAACCGGCAGTTAACTAGAAGATTAATAGTCAGCACAGCAGGACGTGAACTTCTGAAAGCATCCAGATAAAGTGGATATACTGATAAGTACAATAATGAAATATCTTTAATTAATATTACCCAGGGTTCGAATTACACAGTGGCTTTTGGGGGACGCCCTATTTTTCAGTGTGTACCACGACCCCCCAGGTCACATGCCTGCATACATACAGTATAGGTTTAAACATTCTGCTATTACTGCAGACCGTTAATACCATCAGTAACATATGATACAGACACAATAATAACATAAGAATCACGCATAGAATAAACACACAACATTGACATATTAATACTATTATTCCATGAACCTTAATGTACGGAACATAAAATATAAGCTATAACAAAAAAGTGGACACATTTTTAGAGCCCCCCCCCCCCCCCCCCAAAAGGTCTCAGGGGAGCTTGTGTCCTTCTCAGGGGGGCCGAGCTCCCCTGTAATTCGAACCATAATATTACATTTGTGCATTTGATATTCTCAGTTTTGTTTACTGGGTGTCACCAATTAAATGGGAATAATTTTGGAGCTTGCTGAAAGATCGCAGAAATTCGTATAATCCCGAAAACGAGTTGGATCACATAATGTCATGTAGTGTATATATATATATACTGTATATATAATATAAGTAATAGATAGTATTTACTAGTATAAGTGCATAATATATCTTCAGTTTTAAATGGCCTGGCTTGATTACACAGCAGCACATTAGCTGTGTTTGTGATCATGGGACGTTTAAACTTTGCAGTGCTGCTAATTTAGCATTTTTAATAATGGGTCTAAAATGTAGTGATCGCAGCCCCATACAGTAGTGACTTTGTACATGAAGGAGCATAATTTAAATGGTTTGTATATTATATAAAAAGATCTTGATAGGAAATGACAAAGTAGTTTGGCTTGCAAAGTGTACCGTTTGTTTAGACACTGGTAATAAACAGACGTGTTGTGTTATCAGGCTAACAGACTGTAGACCCCTTTTATTATCATTAAAGGGGCAGCACTGTGGTCACACCCCATGGAGTGGCGTTGGTTCGAATCCCACCTCCGCTTTGCATGTGTGGACTTTGCACGCTCCCTTTGTGTCGTGTGACAGCACGTTCCCCTGGAATCCGCGCGGTCTCTGCGAGCTCCTTTTGCCCCTCCCTTCCGACACTGTCAGAATTTCCAAGCCTCGCCGGAATGTTGTCGCTAAGTGGTTGATTTTAATCTTTCTGGAGTTTACGAGTTAATGAGCTAGCACTAAACACTTCATTTCCTCCCGAAAAGTTTGATTTGTCTTCACGTTTCGATGAGAGTAATTATTTCCGCGCTCCAGTCAGTTGCGTTTTGCTCTTGATGTTCCCGGCCTCCCGCTGGCCCGGAGATCCCAGTGACTGGTGGGATTCGCACCCCCAAGGGCGGAGGATGGCCTCGAGCCCGCGGTCTCCCTCTGTCCGACGACCCCAACTCAACACGACGCGTGATCAAGCCGCGAAGCAGCCTGGAGTCAGTCCCCGCTGAGAATGTTTACACGTCGCTGCTGATCTCCGCTACACAAATACCAGCTGCGAGATCGATGAAGGACCCTTTTAAAACAGCGCTCTCACTCTCTTACTCGTACCAGCTGCTAAATGGCGATAAACAACAAATCGATGTTTCATATATACATTTTTAGATATTTATATATTACCTATTTCCTCCTCATTGTTCTTTTAAATGTTTTTTTGTTTTGTTTTGTTTTGTTTTGTTAATGGTGACTCGTTTTGCTGCAGCAATGATGGGCCAGACTGTGGACTAGTTGGATGGTTCTAGAAAGGCACACAGGAACGTACCATTGGTGGGGTCGGGAGGGCCGAACTCCAGTGGGTATCTCAGCACGTTGTAGTTGTTCCACACGTAGAGCTGGTTGTCGCGAGGGTTGTAGTCGATGGAGGAGACGTACTGGTAGGGGTTGGGGAAGGGGATGTGCACAGGCTCCTCGCGCCCGCGGTTGGTGTTGTAGGCATACAGCACCAGGTCTCCACCCGCCTCGCTGTCGTCGTCCTGGTAGACGGAACGCACAGCGTACAGCACCCCGCACGCCATGAAGGCATTGGACGCCAGCCGCTTGTCAAAGCTTGTCTCCCAGGTGCCCTCAAAGCGCAGGGTGTATGGGTTTACCTGCGGGGAGGGGTCATGACGGTTGAATAATCAAATTTCCCATAATGCCACAGGGGGTCCGAGGTTCGGTACGCCTCCTCACCTGGCTGACCACCAAGCGCCCGTTGTTGGCCTCTGTGGCATAGATGACCCACAGGCCGTTCTCGTCCACGGCCAGGTCGATGTCAGACTTGCCGCCCCAGCGGTACGGTGACGTGTCATGGTAGTTGGCATTGGCGATGATGGCCTCGCCGCTCTTGATGCGCGTGCGCAGGTCGTACTTGACGATGTTGCGCGTGCGCTCCTTGTTGTAGAACACGGCTCCGTCGTACACCACGAAGCCCGTCCCATCCACGCGATTTGGCAGCCTGTGGGGGGGGGGTCACATGTTCTCAGAGACATCAATTCAGGAATGAGATCGGCAATCATAATTCCCATTCTTATTACAATATAAAATCAGTCAATAAAGATATATATATATATATTCTGACTCTTTCATTTCTCCTTTAAGCAATAGGGGGCGCTCACTTGTAAGTGGTCGTGGCACGGTTCTGTCGGAAGTCTTCCCAGGACATATATTCGTACAGCATGTCTGTGCGGTAAGGTGTCCAGGGCATGACGTAGAGCCTGTCCCCCGACTGCAGGGGGTCTTTGCACCATGCCCCCGCCTGGTGCTCTGCCTCCTGCAGTGAGCTGGCCGGCTGGACCCTCAGGAGAGTCCCCGGACAAACGAAGACTGGAGGGAGAGTTGGAGGGAGGGAGGGAGGAGCGAGGGGTCGAGAGAGGGAGGAGGAGCGGGGTTAAGAAAGGGAATCCGGGAGGGGAGAGGAGGAACAAGGGAACGAGGAAGGAAAAGGAGAAAGAGGAGGGGAAGAAACAAAGTAGATGGAGGGAAAAGAAGGCGAAGCACAGGAGGGAGAGAGGGAGGAGAGAGAAGAGGGAAGGGAGGAATGGAAGAGGAATGGAGGGTAGATGGAGGTGGGAAATTGGGAGAGATTGGGTGGGGGGAAAAGAGGATGGGGGGAGAGAGCAACAGAGGAGCGTGAGATAAACCAGCAGGCTGGAAAACCACAGGAGCAGAACGACTGACCATGTGTTAAAGCTTGTTTAGTGCGGAGAGGGAGAGCCGGGCTCTCCGGATTGGGGGGAGGGGGGGGATCAAACTGCTGTTGCCCAAATACTGTCTCCAGGTTCACCTCTAAGGCTGCCCTAATTCAGCGCTGCCTTGCTTTCTATTTCGGGACACGCCGAGTCGCTCTTCTCCAGCTACACTCATCTATAGTGGGGTCTGCTTTAAATATTTATTTAGATAATAGACAAGGACAGTGTTAGAAGTGTCTGCCTGGGCCAGCTGTGTCAGAACAGGAGGAGGAAAGGGTGTTTGTGTCACACACACACACACACACAGATCATACACGCATAAAGGCATACATACACAAATAAGAAGTGTATATATGATGGGGATCACCCCACGTGTATTCCTAAGAAAACTGACAGGCGAAAACAAAAGGATTACCTGCTCTGTGTGTTTATGCCTAAACAGAAACCATCAGGGATCAGGAAATGTCTCCTATGGAAAAAAGCCATCAGCTCATCAACATCATTAAGGGACAGGGTTGGGTTTACTAGGGATATTTCAGAAAAACAAAAGCCAGACACCCCGCTCACCGACTCCCTGTTAGGAACACAGACACGTCCTGCTCACTGACTCCCTGTAAGGAACACAGACACGTCCTGCTCACTGACTCCCTGTAAGGAACACAGACACGTCCTGCTCACTGACTCCCTGTTAAGAACACA